CGTGTCACTGAAGGCAGGGCACGGACTGGGACATCTCAAAACCCCGTGCCAAAAAGGGTAGAAAGGCAGCCTCCCTTTAATAATTTACCATCAAAGACGTGGCGGGCAAGATAGTGAGGTTGCGTTGAACCCGATTCTGGCACGGTAGGTAGGGGGCGCTAGGGGAGATCACGGCACCCCTAGGTCGTGTCCTGCCACACCCCCCAAATCCGTGATTAAAATGAGACACCACTAATACATATAACACAATGTTTATTGTGTAAAGTTACAACTTTAAAGCAATTTGGAAGCCTACCAGTGCCTCAACCACTATAATAAATTCTAAGTACCTATACATTTTGGTATTTGATTTTGGGTTTTTTATCATGGAAAATCAGAGCTCCTCCTTCCCCCTATACTCACCAGGATGCAATTCCAGGCCCCTCACTCCCAAGCCACAGGCCCCAAGGCCTGCAGGTACCCCTCACTCCCCACCCACAACTCCTCCACCCCTGCTGGTGCCCCTCAATCCCCACCCACAGCCCTGCTGGTGCCCCTTGCTCCCTACCCACAGTTCCCCGCCCCCCAGCCCTGCCAGAAGGGGCAACCTGCTACCAGGGCCATAAGGCCAGGGACCAAGGTCTATAATCCCCTGCCCTCTGTAGGATTATCTTAGCCCCAGCTGCACCACCATGCTGAGACATCCCCTGCCTGCTGGGCAGCAATGAGGGGTACAACTCCATGCTGCTGCCCCTGCTGCTGCTGTGTGGGCTGGGGGTGCTATGCTAGGGCAGCGCGGGGCTTGCAGCAGCATGGAACTTCCCTGCCTGGTCTTGCTCTGCCGTGTTGCACTAGGTCTAACCCTTTCAGCCGTGGAGGCCCCAGGGGGAGGGCAGCAGGGAAGGGAGCCTGAGCCCACAGCAGGCAGCCTGCACCCACCCCACTCTCAGATCTGGGGGGCCACTGCCCTGGAGTGCGTGCAGCAGCAGGCAGCTAGTCCCACCCCGCCACTCCCTGGATGAGCCCCCCGTGGTCCCATCCGGTTACCCACTGGGGCCCTGTGGCCATGCATACTTGCACTGGGCCCCAAGCCCCACGCACCTCCTGGCTGGGCAGCAGCCCCAGCCCAGTCCAACTCACTCCCTTCCTATGGGGGCCTCAGTTCCCCTGCCCCCACTCCCACCAGACTTTTGGGAGCTGGGCATCAGGCTGCTTGGCAGCCATGTGCATATACGTGCACATAGCGCCCCCTGCCTGACTGTCCTCCTCCCGCTCCCCCGATCCCCTTGCAGGCTGGAACTCTGCTAGCCTGCAGAGAGCTTTTTGCAAAAGTGGAAAATTTGTATGTTTCTTCATTAAAATGAGAAATCCATGTTTTTCTCACTTAAAAGGGAAAATTTCCATTTTCCCCCAATTTTCTGTGGGAAATGGAAAACCTGGATTCGTGCTTATGAGACATGGGAAACTCCAACTTTTTTTTTTTTCCTACTATGGAAAATATAGAGGATGTTTGAAGCCTTGGCTTAACAATATGATGTTATTCCCTTTTCAGATCTTCCCCTTGGTATAACACCACTAACGGTCTTTTATAATGGCTGCATGGAGGCGACGGTTAACAGCAAAGAACTGGATCTGGATCAAGCTGCCTATAAACACAGTGACATTAGATCACATTCATGTCCACAAGTAATGGGAGAAGATCCATTCTTAAAGTAACTCTCTACCTTTAGATATAATTTCTGTAATTAGTCTCATTCATCTCACATACCATTTTATTCAAGATGTGCCAGGATACCAGATCATCTGGAATGTTGTTCTCCCCTTCATGTACTGCGGAAAGGAAAAAAAAACCCTCTCTTTTCAGAGATAAAGGGAAAGAATACAGATTGCATTCTTGTTCAAATGATCCTGCCCAAGTCCAGTTCCTTAGATTTTATATTTAAATAATTCTTTCAGATGGAGTAGTGAGTCCTACCAGCATATTTAAAATCTAAATCAAACTATTTTAATTTAACTTTTAAAGAAAATATATGAAAATGTTTTAACAACTTTTATGAAGTATGATTTTATAAAAAGAAAGGCCCCCAGGTTAGAAGGCTAATTGCTGTCAGTATACTTATGAATCGTAATAGCATTTGGGGTGGTGACATCAAAAACAAAAGCTTTTATTTACATTAAAAAGAAAAGGACATTAGTAAACCAATTTATGACATTCTTGACCAACAGTTGCCTTTTCCATCTTGGAGTCCCACTATCGTAGTTTGAACTTCAGAACTTTTCCCCCCTCCCTGATTCATAATTCCATTACTTTACTTAAGAGTAAAGTACTCCCATTCCTAAAACAACATAATATCATGCCACTGTCAGAAAGAGAAGGGCAGCAGATGTGTGTGAGTAAATTGTGTGCATGAAGGGGCACGTCTACACGATATGCTAAATGCACAGTAGACTAATTCTACTGCACATTAGCACGTCACAGCAAAAGCCGTGCTAATACACAGTAGAATTAGTCTGCTGCTCATTGGCAACAATAAATGACTGTGCACTGGTGCTACTGTGTAGTAGTGCCAGTTACTGCGCATTGTGTTAGTACCTGTTATTACAGGTACTAAACTTAATGCGCAGTAACAATGGTGCATCAATGCATGTGTAGATGTGCCCAAGAGGTAGTCACACTGGTGTCGACATCAAACTTGAATTTGTTGAATAAAGCTGAGGGCCTCCCTAAAAAACAGACTTCCCCGTTTTTGACTAAACTTGCACTCCAGAGTTTCTTAGTCACTCCCAACTAGCTCCTTGGAGATGTCAAACTTATTCTCTACTTAGGTTAATCCCTTAACACCCCCAGTCCTCTTACATATGACTTTGAGGCACCTCAGAAGTGCCTGATTTACAACAAAAGCTCTTTATTTACATGAAAGGCTTAAATCTTGAAGCCAATTTTGCACTTCAAGCCATATCCCTATTAAACCAAATTAGTCCACAAAGTTGATTAGAAGAGGGAATGATTCTAGGAGGTACCCAAGTTGGTATGTCTAGTTTCTTTAATTCCTGTGAGTAATCTTTCAATTTCCAGACTCATTTTCACATAGCTGGTAAAGCCTCTCCATTTAGCTACTGCAGGTTTTGGTTAACCCTAAACTAATAGGGAGAGAAGAGTCAGAAGCAGGAGTACCCTTCCCCTGCATCTCATTAAGCTACAGAATAGACAACTACCTATCAGAACACTTGAATTAGGATTTGATGCCCTGGTATAGAAATTTACTTACCCAAAGAAGTATTATACCATCTTCATTCACTTTGAAGAATGCCTTCCTCCTCAGGAAGTCTCATTGAAATTAATGGTATGATATGATGTAGTACCTCCCAAGTGCAGAACCTAGTCCTATATTTTCAATTTTTTAAAATTCACTTCTGACCCAGTTCTTTTTGTATAACTTTATGAACACAATGAATTAATGTCTCCTCTGACTTCCTGTGCAACCCAGCCCCAGTTTGATTTGGCACCAGATCTCAGAACGCTGCTTCTTGGCAAAAGGAAACCTTGACAATCACAGAAACCCAGTGTGCAGTGCCTAAGCTCCTGTCAGCTCTTGGGCCACCTCTGTGGAATGGTGCATGGATGCAAAACTGCTTTGATTACCTCTGCAGTGGCATACTGATGCAAAACTGTGTTTAAATAACTGTGAGGAAAATTCCCCTCATTGCATCTGGGCTCCAAATCAGAGGTCCAGCTGAAATCTATACAATTCAAATATATGTTTAAATGCTGTGCAGGACTGTGACTTTGGTCAATTGGAACCTCAAAACATGCCTATACTTACTGTATTTCTAGTTTTTCAAGAACAGTTCCCAAAAGTAAGACTCTCTTTTGAATTTGGTGCTTGTTCAGCCACCTTACCTGACCAGAGAAACAATCAAAAGATAGAGCCCAGAAGAAAGGTGTCAATAGTACATAAGATATTTATGTCTATATTACAGTTAGAAGGAAAAAAGAGGGGGGAGGGGAGGAAGATGGATTTTTATTTCATAAATTGAAGAGAGATGAAGTTAAAGAATATGGAAAATAAAGGAACAATATTTTTGTTTTGTTTTTCTCTATGGATACCTGCATTCTAGTTTTAAGCAAAACTGTGTGCTGAACTTTTGAATGTGAAAGTGCCTCCATATTTTAAAGATGAAATAAAAGAAAAAAATTCTAATTTATTTTCGTGAGTCCTTTTAATAGTGCAAACCTGGATCAGATGACCAAGTGATATACTCAGGTGACTAGGATTATCTTCAATATTAATAAAACCTATTAATTCTAAAGCTCATTTGCTGCCCCATCATAACTTCATATTCGCTAGATTAGTATTGAGATGTATTAATTATTTCATATTGCCTATATTAGCTGATGGTAATTAGGCGTTACATGAAAAGAGAAAGAATAGCGAGAGAAGTATGTCAGCTTCTGCTGTGTCGTCTCCATCTGTTGTCTCCATCCATGAAGTCTGGATGTTGAGTCTGATTCTTATTTATGAGGCCCCTTTACACTTAAATATACATCTATTTTAAGTCTTCTTTATACTGCCATCACAGTAAATGGACCTTAGCATTAATGAAAATAGGTAATTTTTTCTACTCTATTTGATCAGGAAGCCTTCCATCTTAGAGAGACCCAAAGCTTTGTTTTTATCAACTCCAATCTAGCCAAGCACTGGAGCACCTGGTTAACTGTAAACATATATGAAACATCATGACTTCAGTGCAGGGGTAGGCACCCCTCAGCATGGGTGGCAGAGCATGGCATGCAAAGGTTGGCAACGTTTTTGGGTGGAGTGCCCAAAACACCCACAACCTCAACTTGAAAGATTTTGGTATGTCTCAGGGTGGATGGTGGGGAGCAATGGCCACAACAAGGATTGGGCTTCTCATGGCTCCCCTGCTATCCACCCTAGGCATACCAACATCTTACAAGTTGAGGTTGCGGGTGTTTTTGGCACTCTGCCCAAAAACGTTGCCGGCCCCTGCTTTAGTGGGTCTTTTACATGATTTAAATGAAGTATATGCTTATTGCTTTGTTGCGCCAGGGCTTTTTACATCAGCATGAATCCACAAGAGCCCCATTGGCTTCAGTATCTTTCACTGGTCTAACAGAACAGAAATTAGAGCCATACAGGAAAACAGCTTGTAAAAGATAGCAATCCTTAAAGACATATTAGGTATTAATAAATTAGGTACTCCAAGGAGGCTAATGCCAAAGGAAAAATTAATGGTTTTTATATTACAGGAGAAGAAATTGAAATAGTAAGTGCAATTTAAGATCTTTGCAGAGACTTTAGTGAGAGATAAGATGATACCAAATAAATAATTATGGTCCAGGATTATATTAATATAGCTCCTGTAACAGGACAGAAGGCTCCTGTTACTTTAAGAGGAAATAATGTCAGTCTGAGCTGAATCAGGGAGGACTTGCAGCTAGGGAACAAGTTAGCTGCTAATGAAATGATTGCCAATAGACAACCCATGGTGTCAGGCATAAAGAAGGGATAACTATGGGAGCATAACTTACTCTGGGGAGGGAGGCAGAGCTGTAAAATGCAGCATGGGCAGTCAAGGAGTCAGCCCCAGAACAAGGGGATGCAGATACATGAGCTCTGTTCTAGCAGGGAGAGCATGCAGGTTATCCTACACAGAAAGGAAACTCCTGAGAGTGCCTGCAGAGTCACATGACTGGATGGGGCAGGGTTTCGGAGACTTAAAGCCGGTGCCTGAGAGCAGGCAGTCAGTCTGACCCTGCTAGCTACTGAGTGAAAAGCTCCTGCCCAGAAAGCTGCAGTGGGAGGCTCTGCTGACTTCTGGAATGCCTGACAATGCAAGTAAGATACTGAATGCTTGCTGCAATGGGGATAGGACCTAAGACAGGGGGAAGCTTGGCAGACAGCTAGATAGATGGGACTTTTGTTAGAACGTAAGCATTTATGGAGCACTGACAGATGTGACGGTTTATTGCACAATTGGCCACTGAAAGACTCTACAGCTATGCACTGACAGAAGTGCACAGGTGCAGAATACATAAAAAATGCCCAATTGCATGACAATCTAAACTTTCATTGCATGGGGATTCAGATGAAGGTGCTTCAAAGAAGAGCACCTTCATTAACGTCTGTCAGTGTGGCTGGGAGCAGGGCTTGGTCGATGCAGCCCAGCTCGGCTCCATGCACTGTCTTCAAGATAGGAGGGTGGGGAAGTGACTCTGGTCTGTGGGTTCCTCAGCTAGTGCTGGATGGTGGGGTGGGTGGATTGGAGCCCCTCTGAGGTGGGGGACCCAATCTACTCCCCCTCCTGCCCCCCTGAGTCCAGTGTGTCTGGGGAAACCCCAGACTGAACTCACTTCCCTGCCTTCCCCCCTCACATCCTGACAGAGCACAGGAGCTTGGAGGGGTGTTGGGGCTAGAGGACAGACTCTACAGATGCACTCACTCTCAAACTCTCCCCTGATCAGCTCCAAACGCAAACTGGATCACATACTCTCCTGATCCAATGGTGAATGTCTGTTGGGTCAGGAGGATTGGTTTAACTCATGATGCTTTCTGTGAAGTGGCATGAGTTAGACCAGGGAGCTGCATGTTAGTGCCCATGTGCTTTTATTTGAGGTTGACTGGTAGACTAGGTGTGTGGCTGTAGGGGAGTATGAAGAAGCCACAGTGGGGCACCTAAAGGTGTGCATTGCAGTTAACCTACAGTGGGGTGTTTGAGGGGCACATGGTGGTTAACCACAGCAGGGTGCCAGGGCACACCAGTGTTTTGGAGCCTTGCTGGGCACAGGGGCTTGGGATACAGACCAAGCTTAAGTCAAAGTGGGGTGTAAGCCTAGAGAAAGACTGAAGCCCAGCACAAGAGAAGGACAGAGACAGGGGCCAGGGGTCCATAAGCCAGGTACAGGGCAGGGGGCCTAGGCAAAGGGCACAGTCAGAGGAAAGGGGCAACGGTTGGGAAGGCCAAGGCAGTCTGGTAGTGGCTGAGGGCAAAGTGCCCCACTTAAGCAATAATCATTAACATCAGCGAGGCATGGGCATGGCTGTAGGGGAGGTCAGAGACCACAAATTTTGCCCTTAAGGAAAGAGTAGACCCAAATATGAACAGGCCAGGAGTGTCCCACCTAGCACCTGAGGCCAGGAGTAGGAGTGGTGAGGTTTGGGAGGAAACCAATTACTAATATCAGACAAGGGCTCATGTCAGGACCCTAGGGCAGCCTCCCTTTTCATGAACCAATACTTACATCAAGGTGTGGCAGGTAGGAGAAGAGGAAGGTACTTTTGGAGCCCAAGCAAGGCAGGAGCTGTGTGTTCATCAGGGGGTGTCACGGTTGCCCTGGGGCATGAGCCTGTTGAAGTCAGGAAAAAGTGTATGCATTGATTTATGGACTGTGACTGCTGCCTATTATAAAACACTAAAATAGTTAAAACAAAAGAGTTCTGTTCCGTGCTAGGTCAGAAGCACTTTGCAATGAAGGAATGAAATGTAGACATTTTCATGCAAATATGCATCAAATGAAGCACTTCTGGCAAGTCTTACCTTTACCAACACTTGCTCACGTTACAGTAAACCAGCCCATGCTGAACTCCTTACTAGAGGATTTCAAGGGAAACCCATTACTTTTCTGTCAGCCTCAAACCTTTTGAAATAAAAAAGTGTATTACAAATATATAAAGCCAGCACATCTTGTCAGTGCTTTGACTTCCATCATGCCCAGTTGCAATATTTTCTGATAAAAATCAAACCGTTTCTGTTTAGTGGGAATTCCATTATATTTTCCAATACTGAATGTCTCTTAGAATTTGCAGCTTACATTTAAGTTCATTTAATTAATTTGGTCCTTCATCCTGGCTTTCCAGAGGACTTTGAACTTATTGCTATGTCTGGTTTAGTTTATGGGAGGGAAGGCTTTCTAATGCACTTTTTTGCATGCAAGTCCGTCATGCAATGGTTTGTGCACCAAATCTATATTGTAAAGTATCTGCCTTTAAAAAAGCAGCTAAGAGAAACTCTTGGGTCATCTAGGCTATGATTTGCAGTGTGATCTGCTAACCACATCTGCCACATGGCTTGCTTTATTTTAATGGAAGCAGACTAAGGCTGATATGAAATTCTTCTGAAAAGGCTGTGTAAGGCCCATCAATCAGTCCCTCTCTTCTCTTCCACTCTGGTTCTGAGCGAAGAAAGCATGTTTTTCCATCTGTCAACCACAGAAAGTGAGCTAATGGACTTTTCTAGACACTGGGCCAAATTCCCTTCTCGAATTATCCTCACAGATCTGGTTAAATCCCCTCTATAAGCAATTCACTTACCAGACTGCTGTGATGAATCCCAACCAGTGGGCTTTCTTCACTTTTTTTGCATTCTTTGCTTTCCTAGGATCTAGCGCTATTTTTCTTTTAGACTTCCAGGCACACTTCCTGGCCACAGGCTCTCTTCCCTTCATGAAATGGGACCCAAAGCCCAGTTGCCTTAGGCTCTTAAAATCAGGATTGACCTTCAAAGTACTCTGGTAACTTGGAACTCCAACTCTGTGGGTCCACTAGGATTTACACAATACTTTTTCAGGTATGCCTGACAGGTGTAGCACAATGTATGCATACAGGCAGGCTTTGCATAGGGTTTCAGGAACACTATTACTCTATTTAAAAGACAAAGCACAAAAGATTACAGATAATATGGGTAGCAGATATTCCTAAATGCGGTACCCCCTCACTCTAGCTCATTCTTCCCTTGGTGAGCCAGGGGGGCTTTCAGGCACTCTTGCCCCCTTGCTTCTTGTCGGGATGGACTCCCCTTGGGCCCTGAGTATCGTTTCCTTAAGGAACGACCACTTGTCCTGGACACTGAGTTCCCCTGCCCTCAAGGACCCCAGCGCCTCACCCACTAGTCTCCTCAACTTGTTGAAGTTGGCCCTCCTAAAGTCTAGAGCTACCGTCTTGCTGCAGGCCCTTGACACCCTGCGCTGGATGGTGAATTCCAGCAAGCGATGAT